GGTGCACGATGGCGCGCGTGGTTCTGCGGAGCTGCTCGCCCTGCAGGAGCAGCAGGTGGTCGTCCCCAACGCGAGCCCACAGCGGCCTGGGGAGAGAAGAGCCACAGGGAGGCAGAGCCTCTGTGAGACGGAAACAGGACTCTGAGTCCCTGGGAAGGAGGCACAGGCAGTGGGCTGGACGCCTGGGTCTGAAGGAGGAGGGGCTGGGGGCCTGGACCCCTGGGTCTGAGGGAGGAGGGTCTTGGGGCCTGGACCCCTGGGTCTGAGGGAGGAGGGCTGGGGGCCTGGACTCCTGGGTCTGAGGGTGGAGGGCTGGGGGCCTGGACCCCTGGGTCTGAGGGTGGAGGGCTGGGGGCCTGGACTCCTGGGTCTGAGGGAGGAGGAGTGAGTCGAAGAAAAGAACTGGGGACATGGGAGGGTCCCTGACCCCACCTTCCTGCCTCCCTCCACAGGGACTCATGAAATGAACAGTTTCTTTTAGTGCTAAATCATTGGCCGCTGTCTGCTGCATGCAGCTCTCTACACCTGAATGGAACCGGGTGGGAAGGACTCTGGTGTAGGGAGGTGATGGATGGGCCCCGAGATGCCGAGGACCGCACTGCCCCCTGGCGGCCACTGCGCAGCCCAGCTCGGCCTGACCCCGCGCGCAGCCGGGACAGCACCAGACCCTCCAATGCACCCCGGGTCCCCCGCCCCCTCCCTCGGGTCTGCCTCCACCGCCACCCCCGCGCCGTCCGGGGGAGCCCGCTCCCTACCTGTCGCCCCCGCAGTGCGCGGCCGTGAGCACCCAGCTCGGGGCCACCAGGACCCCCGCGCAGTGGAACGCGAGGCCGCGGAACAGGGACACCTGCCAGGGCTGCGAGCCGCGCGCGCACGGGGCGCCTGCGGCCTGGAGCTCCAGAGCCGTGGCGTTCTGGGGGGGCACAGCCCCTGCAGCTGGGGGTGGGGGGAAAGAGGAGAGGGCGATCAGAGCAGCCGGCGGCGCAGGGCGGGCAAGGGCTGGGTCTGGGGTCCGAGCCGCGGCCAGGACGGGACAGAGCAGGGGATGGGGGGTGGCTAGAGGGGGCGCAGGTAGAACCCGGGAGAAAGTAGAAATTGGGGGGCGCGGGGAATGCGGGGGTGACGCGGGAACCCTGATGGAAGTGGCGGGAAGGAAAGGGACGTGGAAGGGGAAGGAGGCGGGGGCGGGAGGATGGAGACAGGGCACCTGGCGGGTTGGGATGGGTCTGGAGGGGCAGGGAGGGGCGGAGGGGGCGGGGCTCGGACCCGGGGAGCGCAGAGTGCGGGGGTATAAGGCGTGGGAATAGCGAATCGGGCAGGAGCAGGGGGTGGGGAGGGGGGGCTAAGGCCAGATTGGGGACCCAACAGGGCGGAGGGAGGAGGGGGACCGGGACTGGACAGAGCCAGGGTGAGGGGACGGGAGGAGCGCACCCCACCTGGGGAAATTGGGGGCGAGGAGAGGGCGCGGGAAGGAAAGGGGGTGGGGGTTGGTGTGGATGCGGGCGGCCTGTGGGGCGGGGCATCCCCGGCAGAGCTAGACCTGGGGGCGCGGCTGGGGCTGGGGGCGGGGGGCTGCTCAGGACGGCTGGCTGCGCGCGGGGTCCCCGGCCCGGGGGTGGGGTGGGGGTGGAGGGGAGCGGATGCGGGGATGGGGGTGGGGGTGGGAATGGGGGTGGGGGTGGGCGGGGAGAGCCCCGTCCCGGTGCCTCCTGACCCCCGCCTCACCCCATAGTTGCGCCATCAGCAGCGGCAGCAGCAGCAGCAGCTGGGCCGGGGCCCGGGCGCCCGGGGCGGCGGGGAGGTGGAGGTGCAGGTGCTGGGGTCTCATGGCCAGGACCTGGGCTGGGGTTGGGGGGTTTGGGGAGGAGGCTGGTTAAAACAGGTGCCCTAACAAAGACCCTCATCCCCATTCCGCCCCCCATAACCTCAGCCTGCCCCTTATCCCCCCAGCCTGCCCCCCCATAACCTCAGCCTGCCCCCCATCCCTCCTAGCCTGCCTCCATCCCCTCCAGCCTGCCCCCATCCCCCCAGCCTGCCCCCCATAACCCAAGGGGCAGGCGGAGGGGCCATCCCGCGCGGGCAGCGGTCATGGGCACAATTATCTTAATGATGCTCCTCCTGTGCCTCGGGGAGCGCCCTCCTGGCGGGGCTGCCCTGCACCTCCTTCCCCGTGAGGCTGGGGGGGTCTGGAGGGAAACCAGGCTCCAGCAGGGCTCTGGCCCGGGGTTTGGGGTCCCGAACCAGAGTGGCGTGCACCTGAGCTTACCTGGCTGTCGTGAAGGAGGAGGAGGAGGTGGTGGAGGAGGAGGAGAAGGAGGAGGTGGTGACCCAGAACTGTTCCTGCTGGTCCTGTGGGCCGCTGGATCCTCTGCCCAGGGACCCCTGGCCTGGCCTTCCCTTTTAACCTCTGAGAGCCCGGAAACTTCCCCACCCTGCCCCCGGGCCTGGCCCCCTCCCTTTCCCTCTCCCTAATTATTCCGTGGGCGCGGCTGGCATTCCACCTGGGCCTCAGATTCCTGTCCTGGGAGGGGCCGGGACACGGGCTTCTCCCACCACCCCAAACACCCCCTTTTTGGGGGGGTCCTGGCTTCCTTGGGGGTGTTCTCTCCCCCCCCCCCCCCCCCCCCCCCCCCCCGGTCTCCTTGTTCCAAGGAGTCTTTCTCACATGGGGAGAGAGGGTGGCCTGGGAGCGCGGGTTCGAGAGGAGTGACAGAGAGCAGAAGAGAAAACACACAAGGAGACACAGACCTGGGGACAATAAACAAACAGGGAGACCTGGGAAAAAAATAAATAAACAGGGAAACGCATACCTGGGCAACCACGTCAGAAAAGCCAGCAGGTGGCCGGGGGGAGACGGAGGCAGAGATAAGAGAGGCTTGAAGGACAGAGTAGGAGCCACAGAGACAGACACTCAAAAGGATCAAAACAGGAAAAGGAAAATGGGGAGACAAAGGGGCGAGGAGGTGGAGACAAGGCCCAGAGGGGTGCTCTGTGCTGGAGTCCACCCCCCAACCCCCATTTCCCCCATCCTCTGCCCCAAAGCCAGAGCGGTGGTTGGTCTGTGCCTTAGTGACGGAGCCCGTGTGCTGCGGGAGGGAGGGAGGCAGGCAGGCGGGCACTCTCCGTCATCCCCATGTGTGGTCCCTTCACGCCTTCCTGACAGGCAGGCCTGTGAATCACCACAAGAGGCTGCGAGGGGTGCCCACAGCCCTGCAGCCAGCTTCCTCCTTTCGGGGTGAGGGCTGGGAGGCTCCGAGAGGGCCGTGACTCAGGGGAGGTCACCAGTGAGTCCGCCTAACAACCGGGAGGCCCCTGTTCCGGCTCCGGGCGCTTCCTCCTGGTGCTGGCCACCTCCCACCCCTGCCAGGAGAGCAGAACCCTGGGAAAGAGCCCAGTAGCACTGGGCTGTTCAGATCCAGCAGCTTCTCCAGTTCCAGAGGAGCAAGTTCCTTCCGCTCTGCTCAGCGTCCTCCAGGCGAACTTCCTGTGGCCACACGGTGCTCCGTGGGTGCTGCCCACCCAGGCGGCCACCGGCCACCCGTCCGGCGTGTCCCATGGGACGGAAGAATGGCACTTCTGGTTTCATATGATTTTCATGTAGAGTCACACCCAGCTGGCGTGGCTCAGTGGTCGCTGGTTCGATTCCCAGTCAGGCTCCATCCCCATCCCCATTTGGGGCCTTGTAGGGGGCACCGGATCAGTGTCTCTCTCTCTCTCTCAAGGATGTTTCCAGCTCCCTCCCTTCCCAACTCTCTAAAAATCCACGAAAACGAAATCGGTTTGGCTCAGTGGATAGAGCGACAGCCTGCGGACTGAAAGGTCCCAGGTTCGATTCCAGTCAAGGGCATGTACCTTGGTTGTGGGTACATCCCCAGTACGGGGTATGCAGGAGGCAGCTGATCGATGTTTCTCTATCATCAATGTTTCCAACTCTCTATCCCTCTCTCTTCCTCTCTGTAAAAAAATCGATAAAATATATTAAAAAAGAAAGAGAAAAGAAAACGTATTTTTTTAAAGCCGCATGTGGTTAGTGGCCAGCGCAGTGGTCGGCAAACTCATGAGTCCACAGAGCCACATACCCACAGTGCAACGACTGGAATTTCTTTGGAGAGCCAATTTTTTTAAACGTAAACTTCTTCTAACGCCGCTTCTTCAGCATAGACCGCCCAGGCCGTGGTGTTTTGTGGAAGAGCCACACTCAAGGGGCCAAAGAGCCACCTGTGGCTCGAGGGCCGCGGTTTGCCAACCACGGGGCGAACGATTGGCCTGCGACCTCTCACGGAGGTTGGAAACAAAGCAACGAGAGCTCCCTTTTGCCCAGTGTTCACTGTGGGCACGCAGACCCGCCTCACGTGCTGGGGTCCGAGGCGTAAGCGGCGTGACAGCTAAGGAGACAAGAGGCAGTAGGGCTCCGTGAGGAAATCACCCTGGTTTCAGACTCCCGGCTTTTCTACTTGCTGGCCGTGTGACCATGAGCCAGTGACTTCATTTCACTGTGCCTCAGTCTCCTCATCTGCGAAATAGGTGTAATAATCTATAATAATAAAAGTGTGATGTGCTAATTAGAACTGACAGCCAAACGACCTTCCAGACGTCATTCTGGATGGCCTTCCAGACAAAGCCACAGCAGCGGTGGGCTGAGGCAGAGGCGGTTAGGGGTGATCAGGCAGGCAGGCAGAGCAGTTAGGGGTGATCAGACAGGCAGGCAGAGTGGTTAGGGGTGATCAGGCAGGCAGGCAGGCAGGCAGGCAAGCAGTTAGGAGCCAGCAGTCCTGGATTGCAAGAGGGATGTCCGATTGCGAGACGGTAAAGGCTGGGCTGAGGGACCCCCGTCCATGCACGAATTTCGTGCACTGGGCCTCTAGTAGTAGTAGTAATAATAATAATAATAATAATAGCTCGACCCCCTTAGGCATTGGTGCAGGGTTATGTTCATTTGTGCATGTAAAAGCCCTTGGACCGGGGTCTGGCACCCAGTGAAGCACTCAGGAGAGCCATCGATGTCCTAGATATTTATTGAAATCGTGTGCCAGGAACTGTCTTTGGGATGAGGGGGGATACATACAACCATGAACCAAACAGCTACCCCGTCATCACCCCCAGAGTCCCACATTCATGAATTCCGTTCTCGTTCGCTCGGACAAGTTGCTTATTGTGCGTTGGCATCGATCCGGCCGAGGAAGCCCAGAGGACGAGGGAAGGGGTCCGGGCCCAGGCCCAGGCTTCGTGAGGAGCAGAAGGAACAGGCGGCACATCACCACGCACGCACACACGGACGGGATGTGGGGGGTGAGGCTGGCGAGCTGGTGCCAGCTAGTTGTTCTTCATCGTCTCGTGAATCCAGTCCACGTATTTGCAGACCTTGGTGTAGACCCCAGGCTTCCTGCTGACGGCACACGGGTCCTGGCCCCACGAGATGATGCCTTGGAGAGACCCATTGCAGACCAGAGGGCCTCCGGAATCACCCTGGGGACCGGGAGAGAGAAAACCCGTCAGCGGGAATGAGGGGCCTCGAGGGAGGGGAAAGTGCTGGGTGCGGGGTCAGGGAGAGGTGGGGGGTGGGGGTGGGGTGGGGTTCGTGTGGTGGAGACTGTGAAATGTAACAATATTAGAATAGTAGGTGTGCCATAAGAGGCAGAAAGGGAGAAATGAATAAAGAAGGTGTTTAAAGAAATTAAGGTAGAAAACTTCCCTAACCTGGTAAAAGAAAAAGTCACACAAATTCGGCAGGCACAGAGAACCCCAAGCAAGAAGAACCCAAACAGACCCAAGCCAAGACACATCATAATTAAAATCCCAACAATTAGACAGAATCTTTTTTAAAAAATATATATTTTATTGATTTTTAACAGAGAGGAAGAGAGAGAGAGAGAGAGAGAGAGCTAGAAATGTCGATGAGAGAAAAACATTGGCCAGCTGCCTCTTGCACACCCCCTACCGGGGATGTGCCCGAAACCAATGTACATGCCCTTGACCGGAATCGAACCTGGGACCTTTCAGTTCACAGTCCGATGCTCTACCACTGAGCCAAACCAGCTTCGGTGCAAAGAGAGAATCTTAAAGGCAGCAAGAGAAAAGAAAACTGTTACCTACAAAGGAGTTCCCATAAGGCTGGCACATGATTTCTCATCAGAAACTCTACAGGCCAGAAGGGAATGGCATGAAGTACTCAAGGTAATGGAAAGCAAGGATTTGAGATCAAGATCACTATATCCAGCATCCAAATAGACGGTCAAATAAAGACCATGGAGGAAGGGGTTTGGGATGAGGGTGGAGTTATGGGTGAGAACAAAGATGGGGGTTGTGGGTAGAAAGTGGAGTTGGGGTTCGACTGGCATGGCTCAGTGGTTGAGCATCCATCGACGAACCAGGAGGTCATGGTTCTATTCCCAGGTGGTGGGTTTGATCCCCGGTGTGGGGTGTGCAGGAGGCAGCCCATCCATGGTTCTCTCTCATCATTGATATTTCTCTCCCTCTCTCTTTCTCCCTTCCTTCCTCTCTGAAATCAATAAAAGCATATTTAAAGAAAAAGAAAACTGCCAAAAACCGGTTTGGCTCAGTGGATATAGCGTCGGCCTGCAGACTGAAAGGTCCCAGGTGTGATTCCGGTCAAGGGCATGTACTTTGGTTGCGGGCACATCCCCAGTAGGGGGTGTGCAAAAGGCAGTTCATCCATGATTCTCTCTCATCGATGTTTCTAACTCTCTATCCCTCTCTCTTCCTCTCTGTAAAAAATTAATAAAATATATATTTTTTTTAAAAAAAGAAAGAAAATGGATTTCGGCATGGTTGGGGTGGGCATAGGGAGCTGGAGATGGATTTGGGGCTACAGAAGGCGTGAGCAGAGGGTGATGGTAAAACTAGGATGGGACTGGGAGAGGGGAAGGTGCAGAGTGTGCCGTTAGGGGAGAGGTGGGGGTGGCGGGTGCCGATGAAGACACGGCAGAGGCCGGAGACCCAGGCCCTGCCCTCTGACCTGGCAGGAGTCCTTGCCTTCCTCCCGCACGCTGGCGCACACCATGGTGTCCGTGATGTTGCCCGAGTAGGCGTTCTCACACTCCCTGTGGTCGATGATGGTGATGTTGGCACATCGCAAGCTGTGGGGCAGGTGCACTGTGGAAACGGCAGGGAGGGGTGTGGAACAGGAGAGCCGCCTGGCTCCGTGCCCCGTCCCTGTGCTCTCTGACAGCCCGCAGTAACATCCTCGCTGCTCTAGACACAGGACCTCTGGTGGGTGAGTGGGTGTGAGTGGGTTCTCATTTTATTTTATTATTATTATTTTTTAAAATATATTTTATTGACTTTTTACAGAGAGAAAGAGAGAAGGATAGAGGGTTAGAAACATCAATGAGAGAGAATCATCGCTCAGCTGCCTCCTGCACCCTCCCTACTGGAGATGTACTCTCAACCATGCTACATGCCCTTGATCAGAATCGAACCTGGAACCTTTCAGTCCGCAGGCCGACGCTCTATCCACTGAGCCAAACCGGTTTTGGCCGTTTCTCATCTTATAGAGAAAACCAAGGTTGACAGAGGTGAGGCCCGCTTGCCTATGGTCCTAGGGCAAACAGCAAGTGTGGGCCTGGGACTGCACCTCTGTCTGAGTCGAAGGCCCCAAACACCTGTCTCCAGCCCATTCCTAGGCCCTGACTTCCCACGTCTCCTTTCACCTGATCCTACCTGATCCCACCAAAAGGTAGCCCCCTCTTGGATCATGGGACCCATGCAGGCCCCAACTCCATGTTTCACCCTAACCCCCATCTTTGTTCTCACCCTTAACTCCAGCCTCATCCCCAACCCCCTCCTCCCTCATCCCCAACCCCCTCCTCCCTCATTCCAACCCCCTCCTCTGTCTTGAACCCCACCCCAAAAGGTAGGACCCTCTTTGATCACTAAGACTCTTCTGGTCTCTCCCCTACCTTCCTCAGTGGTGACCCCCCCACACCCCCTCCCCCCCCCCCCCAGCCCCGTGAAGCTCCTACACTGGGGGCTGGAGGTGGTGCCCCAGCCGGAGATGAGGCAGCGGGTGCCCGGGGCCACACAGCGGGAGGACAGCCGGAGGGGCCGCACGGCCCAGGTGATGACGACCGGGGATGCCATCTTCACCAGCATGATGTCGTTGCGGTGGTCCTTGTTGGGGACGCTGTTATTGAAGTCGGGGTGCGGGAAGGACTCGGTGGCCCTCCGGGTCTGCTCCCAGCCGTCGTGCCGCTGCAGGCTGTGCATCCCCAGGTGCACTATGTACTGGCTGAGGGGGGAGAGGGCACAGTCAGAGGTGGAAGGAGGAGGAGAGATGGGAGGTGGGGCCAGAGGCATGGGGTTTCGGGGTGGGGGGGGTTGCAGGGGGAGAGACAGAGGGGAGTGAAGGACCACACCTCCACTTCCAACCTCACCCTTGGGTAAGGTGCCCAGATTTTAACATTGGTAAAGCGGGACACCATTGATTGGGGGGGGGGAGGGGATTCTTGATGAAAATCTTGGTCTCTATGGAGCAACAAAAATTTTCAGAGAATGCAAAAATGGTATTGTAATATATATTTTTTTAAATTTCAACATAAGTACTATTTATAAATATAATAAATAAAAAACATTATGTATAGTATTATTTTATTCTTTGGCATATTTCTCATTTGAGTGAATTCTAACAACTGGTCAACAATGCGAACTTTGATAAGCAGTTCTCGGTAATCAGTCCTCAACAGTTATTTGTCAAGATTAAAGTTTAACATTATAAAATTAACAAAAATAACGTAACAACTCCTATCCTGGCTAAATAGCCACATGGCGGCCGAAAACCGTATGTTCTTTTTCAGTTCTCCCGCCGTTCCCTAGCTTGTCGTGCATTCTTTCCAAAAAATCGGGACTTTTTTTAAACTTTGCGGGACGCGGGACGAATTGTTAAAAATCGAGACTGTCCCGCCAAAAGCGGGACGTCTGGTCACCTTACCCCTGGGTCCCGTCGGAGCCCCTTCCAAAGTACATCCCCACCCAGCACCCAGCACCCGGCCCCATCCCCAACTCCATCCCAGTTCCAATGCTGTCCATTCTTCCCGCCCCAATCCCCAGGGGCTCCCCATCACCAACGCCTCTGTACCCATCTCCCCTCAACCTTTCTCACCCCATGCACATGCTCCCCCCCTCCACCAAGCCCCTCCCCAGCCCCCTCCCGGCCCCGCCCCGGCCCCCGCACCCACGGCTTGAGGCAGTGAGCCGCTGTCAGGAGCCATTTGGGGGCGACGAGGGTTGCCCCGCAGAGCATGCGTGTCTTCTGGTACAGAACCACCTGCCAGGGCTGGGAATGAGGAGGACACTCGTACCCCTTGATGATCCTCGTCTCTCCCCCTACATGCCCTGGAGGGGGTGGGGGCAAAAGAGGGGGCTCAGGCATGAGAGGACTCCCAGGAGAGAGGGATGGGGGGCTGTGTCTGGGCCCACTCCACCCCACCTGGTGTCCCGCTGAGATGCACTGTATGGACAGGCCGGGCCTTGGATGATTGACATGGCAGTTGGCCAATAGCCACTGTCCTAAGCTCTTTGCCTCCCACTCCAGCCCCGAGGCCCTGGCCCCTCCCTTGGGGCCCTCCTGGACCTCTCCCCATTCTAGCACATAAAGGGAGTGTCAGCCGAAACCGGTTTGGCTCAGTGTTATAGCACGCCGGCCTGTGGACTGAAGGGTCCCCAGTTCAATTCCCGGTCAAGGGCATGCACCTTGGTTGCGGGCACATCCCCAGTAGCGGGTGTGCAGGAGACAGCTGATGGATGTTTCTCTCTCATCGGTGTTTCTAACTCTCTATCCCTCTCTCTTCCTCTCTGTAGAAAAAAAATCAATAAAATATATTTTAAAAATAAAATAAAGGGGGTGACCAAGGTCTCATTCTGGCTCATAGACCCATGCGGATGCCCTCTGGGTTATTCTAGACATGGAGAGGGTTGGGGGGGGGGGGACCCCTGGAGGTTGGAGTAGGAGAGGTCCCTTGCCCTTCCCCATCGCCCACCGTACCTGTCACCAGAGCAAGCACGAGTAATGGCAGAATCGTCATGGCCTGGCACAGGGCGAGGGAGGACGGCAGGCCCCAGGTGCTTCTGGAAGCAAGGGGAGAGCCCATGGGGGGACTGCGGGCTGGGTCCTGCCCATCCCCCTCTCCCTCGCCTGCCCTGACGGGCCCCGGGGGAGAAACAGCAGGGCGAGAAGGATCCCCTCGGTCTGTCCCTCACAGCACCCCGGCCTTGTCATGAATCTCTGGAGGTGGCCTTGGAGGGGCCAGATCTCAGATAGCAGCTGCTGGCGGCCCCAGGAGGCTTTGCCTGGTTTCACCTTGACCTCTGAACCCCCCAAGGTTCCCTTTGTAGGATTTGAAGACATAGGCTGGGTCCTCTGGGTCCTTCTGGGTCCTCTGCACCCTACCCTCCTTCTCCCTGCCCGCTGGAGAGCTGGCCGGGCCCCAACAGCTTGGGGCAGGAGGGCAAAGGGACCTGGCACCATTCAGGAACCACCCCCAAGGGGACATGAACCCTTCACAGGCTTTCCTGGGAGTGCAGGATGGGGGTCCTTGGCCAGAGATGATGTTTGGGGACCCTGCCCTGCTGCACCCCAGCCTCTTGGAAGGGCCCTGGATGGAGCTGGGAGGGGCTGGTCCCAGGAAGAGCCCATGTCCTCAGCTGCCCTGGCCAACGGGGGCAGAGGTGGAGGGCCGGACTCAGGGACAGAGGCTGGGACAGAGGCCAGAAGTCACAGAGGAGGTTGGCGGTGGCGGCCAGTGGGAGAGGCAGAGAGAGAAACAGAGAGGCCCTCCTCCCCGCCTCCCCCTGCCCGGCCCCCAAGCCTAGGACAGAGCAGAGGGAGAAACAGTGGCCAAACCAGGAGGCCTGGTGCTCCCTGTCTGCCTGGTACCACCTGGATGCCGGGCCTTCTTTCCCCTCCCAGACTCACAGGCTCTGGAGCTGGGGCTCCGGGGACCCGCGGTGGTGGTGGTGGCGGTGGTGGTGGTGGTGGCAGCTGTGACAGGCTGGGGCAGGCTGGCAGCTGTAGGGGGTGGCCCGGATGACTGGGCCTCCCAGCCCTGCCTTACTGCCTTGGGGGCGGGGTGTATGTCAGGGGGGGGCCCCTACCCAGACGAGGCGCAGGGCCTGGGTGCTGATGCCGCCCGCCTGCCCGCCACTGTCACCTCCTAAGCCCCTCTTCTCTCTGCTGGCTGCTCAGGGTTCCTCCGGCAGGCCCGTCCATCCACCTGCCCACCTGCCTCCCACCTGCCTCCTGCCCTGGGGCTCCAAGTCTCTCTCCCCTCCCCTGTCGCCGGCCACCTCTCTGTAATTCTGTCGTCTCTCCCGTGTCTGTGGCTTTCTGTCTCCCTCTGTCCCTGTTTGCATCTCCCAGGCTCTGTCCTTGGAGCCTGCCTCTGGCTGCCTCCCTCCCTCCCTCTGTCCGTCTTTCCCTTCCCCTCCCTCTGCCTCCTAACCCTCTTCTGCCTCATCTCCTCCTGGGTCCGCCCCTCCCTCCCCGCAGCTCGAGCCCCCATGGGCCCCTGGCCTCCTTTGGGCCCCTCCCTTTCTCCATTCCAAGGCAAGGGGGAACTGGGGCGTCCCAGAGGCGGGGCTGTTGCCAGGCGCAGGGGCAGGACAGGAGGGTGGGGGAGGCAGGTCGGGGCCTGTGGGAGTCAAGGCCCGAGAAATGGGAAATGAGAGCTCCTCTGTGCCCCCTCCCCCTTCCCTCTGCACCCATCCCACCCCCTTCTCTCCACACCGAGTCTGAGTCCATGGGGAACCCCCTAGCCCCAGGGGCCTCGGCATCCAGCTGTGGTACTTACTGGCTGTGTGACCTGGGTCCGACGCCTTCCCAGACCCCAGCCACCTCGGTTTCCAGGTGGGCAGAGTCGAGAGACAATCCCCGACGTCTCTGGGCTTGTGTTTATCGGGCCGATCTGCTTCCTGTCGTGCCCTCCCCGCTCCTCTAACCAGATGCGGAGCAGGATTGCCAGGTAGGCCTGGGTGCTGCCAGCAGCCAGCCCTGGCCCCGGACCGCGGCTCTGCCTCTGGCTTAGCGCGCTGACGTGGGACCGGGGACTCCACCCCAGCGAGGCTCAGTTTCTTCATCTGTGTCCCTGAGGGGTGTGTGTGTGTATGTGTGTGTGTGTGTGTGTGTGTGTGTGGAGTGGGGGACAGGACGGCCCTGCCTTGGGGGGATTGGGATGAGGAGTTCCAGAGAGCCAAGGACAGAAGGTTCTCTCTCAGCCCGTGTTCCCACGGCCGTCAGGATCACACCTCAAATTCCTCTTCCAGACAAGTTCTCCCTGCACCTCCCAGAAAGGCCTTGAGGACAGACCCCAAGGGGCTGGGCAGGACACATTCAAAGACATAGGCTGGGTCCCCTGGCCTTCCGGGGCTGCCTGCACCCCGCCCTCCAAAACAAACCCACAGGCCACATGCAGTCGTTAAATAATAGAACGTGTGGCCCTCGCCGGTGTGGCTCGGTGGATAGAGCCTTGGCCTGCGGGCTGAAGGGTCTCAGGTTCGATGCCGGCCAAAGGCATGTGCCTTGGTTTGCGGAAGGCAGCTGATCGATGTTTCTCTCTCATCATTGAGGTGTCTAACTCTCTATCCCTCTCCCTTCCTCTCTGTAAAAAAAATAAAATAAAAATAAATAAATAAATAAATAAATAAAATAATAGAACGTGTGCTTAACTCCAGCAGAAGCAAGTTGCCATTGGCTGGTTGGGGAGGATATTACATTTTATGGGCGTTTAATTCGATGGTCACGGATTTTGATTTCACAGTTGTGGTTTGCTATTTTGCAACCAGTAAGTCCCTCCCCACCTCCCTTTTTTTCAGGTCCTTATGCGTATGAGCCCTTGAAAAGCTTACAAGGGCTTGGTTCCTGTGGTGTCCGAAAAGGTCCCTTATTTTTATTGTTATAAGTAACGTGTTCTTCTCCATTCCTGTGGGAAAACCCTCCGCATTAGAGATCCCCATTGCTACACCAGTGAGGAGAGGAAGGAAGGAGCCCTCCCTACAGACAGACAGTCAGACAGACAGACACACACCACCCCTGGGCGAATCATATTTATTCCAAGGGGTCCCACACTCCCTCCTCCCCGAACCGAGGGTCTTCGGAGGGGGCTGGCTGGAGGTGGGAGTTCTGGGGAGGAGATGTCCCAGACCAAGAAGAGTGAGAGCTGAGGATTGATGATGGAGGGCGGCGGGGGGGATTGGCCCCTCCGGGGGGTCAGAGCGGCCCCCCAAACCGAGGAGCGGGGCGGGGAGGGGGGGAGGTAGAGGGAGCCCTCAGTTGTTCTTGATGACCCCCAGGATCCAGTCCACATATTTGCAGATGTTGGTGTAGACTCCCGGGATGCCTTCTTGGCCGCAGGGCCCCACGGATCCCCAGGACACCAGGCCCTGAAGGACGCCTCTGCACACCAGGGGGCCGCCGGAGTCACCCTGGAAGGAGAAGCGGGGGGGAAAGGAGCAAAGGCCTGAACAGGGGAGCAATCCTGTTGCATTTGTCCTCTCCCCAGCCCATGTCTGGGCCTTGAGGACAGTGCTTCCAAACTTGGTGGCCAGAGAAAGAGCATGGCCCAGTGCCGGAGGAGGGACAAGAGCCAGGACTGATAACAGGAAAGAACACACTGTTCCCAGACTCAGGGAAGGTGGGCGGGTCTCCACACAGGGTAGAGAACAATGGCAGGGGCCCTGACCAATGAGGGAAGAGGGTGTGGGCACCCACAACCAATCGGAGCAAAGGAGGGCGGGACTCCATAAAGAGTCCTCTGAAGGGCAGGAGGCTGGGGCCCTTGGCCAGTAGGGTGGGGCAGGCCTTCTCTCTGGAGGACCCAAGAGGGCAAGGTAAGCAGAATGTGAGGCTGAGAACTCCCCAAAGGGTAGAGAGTCCCCTTAAGAACAATGGCAAGGGCCCTGACCAATGAGGGAAGAGAGCAGGGCACCAACAACCAATCGCAGCAAAGGAGGGCGGGACTCCATAAAGAGCTCTCTGAAGGGCAGTAGGCTGGGGCCCTGGCTGGTTGGGTGCGGCAGACCTTCTCTCTGGAGGACCCAAGAGGGCAAGGCAGGCAGACTGTGAGGCTGAGAGCGCCCCCACCCCCTCTCCTGCCTCCATCCTGGAATCTCTCACCTGGGCCAGTATCAACCGAAGGAGGAGGAAGGTGTGGGGAAGACTCAGAACTGGGGAGGGCGTAGGTTACCTACCTGAGCGCCCCACATCCCGCTGCTCCTTCATTCTCCCCCATCTGCCTCTCTTCTCTCTGCCCACCCGCCCTCTCTCTGTCCTCCGTTCCCTGGCTCTTCCTCCTGTCCTTCCCCCTCCCTCCTGCTGTACCTCCCCTTCTTCCTGACCTCATCTCTACCCCCTACCTCCTTTCCCTGACTCCCCCTCCCCCTCTCTCTGTCCTCCATTCCCTGGCTCTTCCTCCTGTTCTGTCCCCCTCCCTCCTGCTGGGCCTCCCCTTCTTCCTGACCTCATCTCTGTCCCCTACCCCCTTTCCCTGACTCACCCTCCCCACGTCCCCCTCCTCCGCCCCCTGCTCCCCATCCCTGCACTGCTTACCTGGCAGGCATCCTTTCCCATGTTGCCGCCTGCACACACCATGTTGTCTGTGATTCTCCCGGGGAACACGGCTCGGCAAATGGCGCTGGAGACGATGGAGATGTTGAGGCACTGCAGTTTGTCTGGGAATGGGCCTGGGGGAGGAAAATGGATGCTGCTGGTCCCTCCTCTCAAGGAAGCTCTCTGGTCCCTCCTCTCGAGTCCACAACCACGCCCTGTCCCCTCCCTGTGACCTTCCCTGGAACCCTCCAACCTCCAGGCTTCCGATGGATGGCTTGACACCATCATGACCTTTGACCCCAGCCCATTGGAGTTCCGGGACCTTTAACCTCTAACATTGAGTGTCCTAACGCTAGACCCTCTGTGTGCCTCTGACCACAGATACCGTGAATCCGGACCTGGCCTCCTCCTCTCGTTTCAGGTGCTGTGTGACCTTCGACCTTCAGGCTTATTATCATCTTTTGATTCCCAACTTGGACCTTATGTCTTCTATCTCCTGACCCTGTATTCCTGGTCTTCACCTTACAGTTCAGCCTCAGTTCTGCTTCCTCTAAGTCGCTGGTCTCTACTCCAGGATGACCTCTGGTCCGAGGTTATTTGAACCCTGACTCCCTGACCTGCCTCCACACTCCACACACTGTGGCTTTTGGTCCCAGACGGATGACCCCTAATCTCCATCCTGAGACTGTGGCCAGCTTCTGCAACATGTGGGTCCTTTGGCCTCAACTCTTCAATGACGTTGACCAACCCCTGATCCTTTTTTATACTGGAGGCCCAGGGCACGAGATTCGTGCATGGGGGCAAGGGAGGGTGTCCCTCAGCCCAGCCTGCACCCTCTCCAATCTGGGACCCCTCGAGGGATGTCTGACTGCCTGTTTAGGCCCTCTCACACTCCAGGACTGCTGGCTCCCAACTGCTCGCCTGGCTGCCTTCCTGATTAACCCTAACTGCTTCTGCCTGCCAGCCTGATCACCCCCTAACCACTCCCCTGCCAGCCTGATTGATGCCTAACTGCTCTCCTGCCAGCCTGGTCACCCCTAACTGCCCTCCCCTGCAGGCCTGGTCATTTCTAACTGTCCTCCCCTGCAGGCCTGGTCACCCCTAACCGCCCTCCCCTACAGGCCTGGTTCCCCCCAACTGCTCTCCACTGCAGGCTTCATCGCCCCCAACTGCCCTACCTAGAAGGCCCAGTCCCTCCCAACTACTCTCCCCTGCTGGCCATCTTGTAGTGGCCATCTTATGTCCACATGGGGGCAGCCACCTTGTGTGTTGGAGTGACAGTCAATCTGCACATTACTCTTTTATTAGATAGGATATGACTTTTGCTCCAGTCAGATGATCCCCGGCAGCACAGCACTCTGACCTCTGACCTCTAACCACACCCTCCCCTGACCCAGGGCTTCTGACTCCATATCCAACCCCTTAAGCCACTTAGACACTCAAGGCCTGACCCACCATGATCTCCAGCCCCAAACTATCATCCTGCCTCTGGACCCTTTGACCACCCTTCCCCCTCTCACCCGACACCCAGACTTTTGCCCATTTTGACTCTCCCTCCTCCCCCCCCCCCCGCCCCCCCCCCTCCCCCCGCCACGCCAGGGCCGGCTTACTCCACGGCCGGTTGGTGGTGCCCCAGCCGGAGATGTGGCATTCGGTGCCAGCGGCGGCGCAGGAGGTGGGCAGGGCCAGGGGCTGGACGCTGCGGGTCAGGCGGGCGGGGGTGCCCAGCCTCAGGAGCCGCAGGTCGTGCTCGTGGCTCCTCTGTGCACCCTTGTAGCCGGGGTGGGTCACGGAGAAGTAGCTGCGCCGGATCTGCTCGGTCCAGTCCAGGTGGCTGAGGCTGTGCTCCCCCAGGCGCACCCAGTACCTGCTGGGGGGTCACGTACGGTGGCTCAACAGGCTCAGCTCTCCTGACTCCCACTCATCATCATCTCCATCCCTCATTCATTCACCCTTGTTCTCTAAGGTGCTGGCTCTCAGCCCCTTGGTCTCTATCTCCATCACCCCGGTCCCCCACCCCATGCTCCTGCATCTGTGTTCGCTTCTGATTCTCTCTCTTAAAAAAAAAATATATATATATATATATATATATATATATATACACACACACACACACATATATATTATTGATTTGTTACAGAGAGGAAGAGAGAGGGATAGAGAGTTAGAAACATCGATGAGAGAGAATCATCGATCAGCTGCCTCTTGCACACCCCCTACTGGGGATGTGCCCACAACCAACGTACATGCCCTTGACTGGAATCGAACCTGGGACCTTTTAGTCCACAGACCGACACCCTATCCACTGAGCCAAACCGGTTTTGGCTCTTTTTTTTTAATTTTTTTATTGATTAAGGTATCACATATCTGTCCTCAACCCTCCATTCCAACCCCTCACCCCTCCCCATTCATGCCCCCTCCCCACTACTGTCCTTGACCACTGGTTAGACTCATATGTATGCACACAAGTCCTTTGGTTGATCTCTCCCTTTTATCTCCACCCTCCCTTTGAGGTCCAGCAGTCTGACCCATGGCTCCTTGTCTCTGGGTCTGTTCCTGTTCATCAGTCTATGTTGTTCACCATTTCCCCTAGATGAGTGAGATCATGTCCTACTGGAAATATTCTTCTAAGAATCAAAAATGTGCCAAAACCAGTTTGGCTCAGTGGATAGAGTGTCGGCCTGCGGACTGAAGGGTCCCGGGTTCAATTCCGGTCAGGGGCATGTATGTACCTTGGTTGCAGGACCATCTCCTTTCTCCCTGACACTCCCTCCCCATCGCCCTCCTCGGCCCCCTCCAGGAGGGAGCCAGGCTGGGGGAGGGGGCTTACCTGCCGCTGCAGTGGGCAGCCGTGAGGACCCACCTCCGGTCAATGAGGACCCCCCCACAGCGCAGGTTGGCACCTTCAAACAGCCCCACCTGCCAGGGCTGCGAGTGAGGGTCGCACTCCGTGCCGTTATAAATCTTCTCCGAGGCTCCATGGCCGAGCCCTGAGGACGGGGGTACGGGCCAGAGAGAGGGTGTCAGAGGCCCGCACAGGCTGTGGGTCAGAGACAGGAAGGGAGAGACACGAAGATGCTGAGACACAGAGAGAGAAGGAGGCGAGAGGAAGACCGAGCCAGGCACAGGGAGACTTCTCAGGATGGAGAGCAAAAGACAGTGCTACCCCCAAGGGATACAGAGAGGAAGAGGGAAACAGAGAGAGGTGCTGATAGATGATAGATAGATGATAGGTAGATAGAAAGATGATAGACAGATGATTCATAGATGATAGATAGATGATTCATAGATGATAGATAGATAGTGATAGATAAATAGATGATAAGTAGATGATAGGTAGATTAATGATAGCTAGCTAGACAGATGATGGATGATAGATGATTCATAGATAAACAGATGATAGATGATAGATGATAGATGATAGATATGTGATAGATGATAGATGATAGACAGATAGATAGATGATTCATAGACAGACAGATAGATAGATGATAGAGAACTGAGACTGTGTGCAGGAAGAGACAAAGGGGAAATGGATGAAGAGATGCGGGCAGGGTGGGAGGGCCCTGGGATGGGAGCTGAAGGTAAATGGAGGCCAGAGCTGAGAAGGAGAGATGGGGGTCCCCTCTTGAGGAAGGGAGAGACTCTCCTCCCTCCTGGGGAACTCACCAATAACACACAGGAGCACAAGAATGCTGGGCCCCATGGCTGGCCACCTCCAGGTTCTGGGAAAAGGTGGGGGATTCTCAGAAATGGCTCTATCCTTGTCCTCCCTCCCTACCCCTCTCTCTCCCTCCCTCAATCCCTCCCTCTCTTCCCCCTCCCTCCTTCTCTCTCTCTCCCTATTCCCTAACCCCCTCTCTCCCTTCCTCCTTCCCCCCCCTCCCTCTCTCTCTTCCTCCTCCCTCATCCTTCCAAGGTCAGCTCCATGCACAGGGAATGCCCCCTTCCCCTCTCTCCCCACCTCCCGCTGTCCCCCCTCACCTTGTCTCTCTGCCTGCTGGGTGCTCCATGTGCCCTTGGCCGGTACAGCCTGCCTGTGTCTGTTATCTCTGTCAGCCTACCTGCCTGTGTTGTCACCTGCGGCCAGTCAGTGCTCCCCTGTCCACCTGGCTTCTCAGCCACCTGGCATGCCTCCCCTCCGCCCGCCCGCCTGTCCCTCTGCCTTGGACTGGCGGCCGGCACAGCTTTTAACTCTCTTCCTCCCGGCCCATTCCGTTTCCTGGTTGAGGGAAGGGGACCAGGAAACCACGGGGTGGGGCGCCCAGTAATCCCCACCAGCGCTTCCTCACGCTGCTGGCATGTAAGTAATGGGGTGTCACGGCTGGTTCCCTGGAGAAGGGGAGCCGGGGACAGGTTCGGGCGGGCTCCGGGGGACAGACCCCACCCCGAGCCATCTTCCCTCTTCTCCGAGCCGGCCATCAGCTCCCCCGCCCCTTCCAGCTGGCGGCTCCAGGTGATGTGGAAGCTGGGTTCTAATCCCAACCCCAGTGACACCCAGGCTCAGGGAGGGCGGTGTGCCGGGCCCCCAGGCCCCTCCCCACACAGTGCCAGGAGAGAGCAGAGGGTGGATGTGAGAGGCAGGAGGGCCGGCAGACAGGAGCTGGAGGAGAGAGAAGGGGAGGGGAAGGAAAGGATTTCACAAGAGGTGACGGAAGGGACAGGAGACAGTTTCCAACCTGGGTTCTGTGGAAGTCCGAATCTAACCGAATTTTTCAACTTTTTATTTATTGGTTTGAGAGAGAGAGAGAGAGAGAGAGAGAGAGAGAGAGAGAGAGAGGGGAAGGGAGGGAGGGGGAGGGAGGGAGGGAGGGAGAGAGAGAGAGAGGGGAGGGAGGGAGGGAGGGGAGGGAGGGAGGGAGGGAGGGAGGGGAGGGAGAGAGAGAGAGAGAGAGAGAGAGAGAGAGAGAGAGAGAGAGAGAGATATCATTCATTGTATTTAGGCATTCATTGGTTGATTCTTCTATGTGCTCTGACCAGGGGATCCAGCCGGCAGCTTTGGTATCTGGACGATGCTCTAACCCAGTGTTTCCCAAACTTCACTCATGATGAGAATCACCTGGTGGAGTTGTTAGACTACAGATTCCTGAATCCCAACTAAGAAGTGCTAAACTAGAATTTTTGGGAACATATAGGAACATATAGGTAAAATTGTATATTTAGCTTAGAGCACTAGTTAAGTATACAATTTTACCTATATGTTCCCAAAAATTCTAGTTTAGCACTTCTTAGTTGGGATTCAGGAATCTGTAGTTTAACAACTCCACCAGGTGGTTCTCATCGTGAGAGGAGTTTGGGAAACACTGCTCTAACCCATTGAGCTACCCAGCCAGGGCTTGTAAGTGATTTTTTTTTTTTTTTAATTCAGGCTCCTGAGCCTGACCCTAGAGATTCTTTTGAAATACATTTTATTGATTTCAGAGAGGAAGAGAGAGAGAGAGAGAGAGAGAGAGAGAGAGAGAGAGAGAGAGAGAGAAAGAGAGAAACATCAATAAGGAGAGAATCACTGATCTGCTGCCTCCTGCTTGCCCCCTATTAGGGATCCAGCCCACAACCTGGGCATGTGCCCTTGGCTGGGATCGAACCTGAGACCCTTCAGTCCCCAGGCCAAAGCTCTATCTCCTGAGCCCAACCTCGGGCTTTGATATAAGACCCCATTTATATGAAATATCCAAAATGGGCAAATCCACAGGGACAGGAAAGCAGATCCGTGGCGGCCTGGGGCTGAGGGGAGTGGGGCTGAGGAGTGATTGCTCGATGGTGGTTCTGTTTGACACGCCCGCTTCATACAGCTGGAGGCTCGGGGAGTGGGGGCAGGCCTGCAGCTGCGAGCACCTTTGCCAACGCCCCCAGAAGGCCCTCAGGGCTCTTCAGTCCCTGTGCCTCCCACGTGACCCTCGGGCTCCCTCCTGGCCCAGAGAGCACTCGGCCACCCCGACACCTGGCCATGGATGTGGAAACAGGCGCCACTCGATGAAGTCACACATACACACAGTTGGTCAGTGGCAGAACTGGTGTCTGAACCCAGGCAGACTCTCTCAGGCATCCCTAATCCATACCCAAATACGAGAGGCCCGGTGCATGAATTCATGCACGGGTGGCATTCCTTGGCCTGCCAGCTATTGGGGCCAATCAGGAGGTTGGCTGTGGGAGTGCACAGACCACCAGGAGGGGTAGCTTCTGCATTGAGCAGCTGCCCCCTGGTGGTCAGTGCATCATCATAATGACTGGTCAACTGGTCATTCTGTTATCTAGTTGTAACGGTCGCTTAGGCTTTTATATACACTGATTGGCCAGGTTATTATGACCACCTGATAGTTTGTAGGCAAATGAGCCGTACACGGCATCGTAGGGGATATGGAAGCCGAAGGCCTGTTCGAACACCTTTGCTGTCTGCAGTTACCGGGATAAAACGTCTCCAGTTTGCACAGGAACACAAGGATGGGACAGTCGAGCATTGGAAAAAAGTCATGTGGTCCGATGAATCACGTTTCCAGTTGCATCATGCGGATGGCAGAGTGAGAATTTTGGGGAAACAGCATGAAAGCATGCACCCCACATGCATGAGTACAACCCTTCAAGCTGGCAAGGGCAGTATTATGGTTTGGGGCATGTTTTCCTGGCATGATTTGGGCCCTTGAATTCATGTGGAACAACGTCTGAATAGCACAACATACCTAAGTATCGTTGCTGATCAAGTTCATCCTATCATGTTAATGGCATATCCCAATGGAGATGGCTTCTTCCAACAAGACCATGCCAAGGTGCTCGTATTGTGCAGGCGTGGTTTCAAGAGCATGAGGGAGACTTTACCTTGCTTAGGTGGCCCCCGAAATCACCAGATCTCCATCCAATGGAGCGTTTGTGGGACGAAGTTAAAAGAGCCATCAGGCAGCTGGTTCCACAACCATCCAATCTCACAGACCAGACAGTGCTATCCATCAGGCATGGTGTCTCCTCACATCACCTTTCAACATCTCATGGAGTCCATAACGAGAAGAATCACCACAGTATTGAAGGCAAATTGTGGTCCAACGAAGTATTGATGGGGCGGTCATAATAATCTGGCCACTCCATGTGTGTGTGTGTGTGTGTGTGTGGCAATTTAATTTTTCAATTACAGTTAATTGTCCATCAGTCGGTGACTAGATAAAGAAGATGTGATACGTTTACACAATGGAGAATATTAGTTGGCCATGAAAGAGAATGAAGACATCATTTGTGACAACATGGGTGGACCTGGAGGGTATGGTGCTAAGTGAAATAAGTCAGAGAAAGTTAATTACTTTATTGTAAGAATGTACAGAGCTGACTTTGATGACAGAATCTTTTTTCCCCCCTTTAGATGTGAAGAAATATCAGCTACAACTTTTTTAAAAAGTATATATTTTATTGCTTTTTTTTTTGCAGAGAGCAAGGGAGAGGAACAGAGTCAGAAATATCAGTGAGAGAGAAACATTGACCAGCTGCCTCCTGCACACCCCTACTGGGGATGTGCCTGCAACCAAGGTACATGCCCTTGACCGGAATTAAACCTGGGACCCTTCAGTCCACAGGCCAATGCTCTTATCCAATGAGCCAAACCGGTCAGGGCTTGATCTTTATCTTTTTGTCTATCTTCCCACCTCTCTCACTCGATTCTCTGCTCATTCAGTTATTCAGTCAGTCACTCTATAAACATTCTGAGGTGCCTACATGCCGGATGCTCTGCTGGGTGATGCTGGGACCACAAAGTTAATCAGAACTAAGCTCCACTGACTACCCTGTCTTCCTACCATCCCTCCCAGCAAACCTTCTCTGTGGAGGTCTCCTCACTGCGGGTCCCCTCCCTGGGTTTCCACAGACGCCCGTGTTGAGCAACCCAGTGGGCACCGGCCTGTCCTGTCGCTGCTCAGGTTTTCCGCAGCATTCCCCAGGCCGGCGGCTCCCCTCCCGGCTTCCGGACGCCACACATTCCTGATTTTCCTCCTCCTTTGTTGGCTCTGCTTCCTGTTCTTCTGCATGAATAGGGCCTTTTTTTTTTTTTTTTTTTTTTTTTTTTTTTTTTTTTCCTGCACAGGTGTCTGGACAAACAAGGGTGTTGTTCCCAGGCCCCAGTGCTAAGCCTGCATACACCTGACAGTTTCACCTGCTGTTGTATCACAAATCAGCGAGCTGGACAAGACGCCTTAATGAGCCAATTAGTCAGGAGTCATCTTGATTGCGCGCAGGTTCACAGCAGATTACCTCTGCCAAATTCCAGACGCCCAAAGGAGGAAGCATTTCCTCTCTCTCTCTCTCTCTCTCTCAAAAAATATATTTCATTGATTTTTTACAGAGAGGAAGAGAGAGGGATAGAGAGCTAGAAACATCAATGAGAAACATCGACCAGCTGCCCCCTGCACACCCCCTACTGGGGATGTGCCCACAACCAAGGTACATGCCCTTGACTGGAATTGAACTTGAGACCTTTCAGTCCACAGACCAATGCTCTATCCACTGAGCCAAACCGGTTTTGGTGGAAGCATTCTCTTTTTATGTCTTTTCAGGTCCTCGTGGAAGTTATTTTTACAGACAACCTGTAACCTTGAGTACATGCTGTATCTAACCAACACCTGCCACATCAACACAGACAACTTGTAACCTTGAGGACATAGCTTTATAGATACCTGCAACCTTGGATGAGCAAGCGCGTGGCATGAGAATGTGGGAATTATTATCCGTGAATCAACTCCTTTAGATGGCTGGATGGCTTCCTGACAAGGTCAGGCAGTTACGTCTGTCTTTTCTATGATTCGAGCTAAAAACAAAGTTATTTTACAATCTAAAAAATGACAGTGTTGATCTAATGAGAGGCTAAGAATAACAGAGTAGTTCCGACAGCAGTTTTTCCAGAAGAGGGACCACTCTGCTTCCCTGCCACCTGTGTCACCGGGGCAGGTTGGGGTCTCAGGCCTCTCCCCAGCTCCAGGCCTGTTGCCTCCAACGGCTTCCTGAACAACCCCGACGAAGCTCACCTTCTGTCCCCATCAACCTGCGAGCCAGACCTCTATCGGCTGCCTCCAGCAACGCCCCCTTATGGGGGATGGAGCCCACATCCCAGGCATGTGCCCTGCCCAGGAATCGAACCCACAACCTTTCATTGCATGCGGCGATGCCTGGCCAACGAGCCACACCGGCCCGGGCTCTGAATTCGTTCCTAATCAGAACTCGGGTAGCGAGGCCCAGTCTGACTCCCACAACCTAACACCTGGTAGTGTTTCACCACCAGCAGGTCTGAGATGTGTTGCCAGCCCCCGTTCTGTCTG